CATCACCGCCACCACCACCTCCACCACCACAACCACCACCACCAGCAATGTCAACAAGAAAATACCTGGGATTATTTACTGAATAATAGTGAAAGCTTTTCTTTCCTTTTTATTTTTAGTAATTACATGTATGCATCAATGTAGCATAATCTACCTTATTTAATGCAATGTATAAAAGTACAAAAGAGGGGCTAGAATGAAAATCTCAACTAATAAGTGACTTTATCAAATAGGAGAGTTTTATTGATAGCTTAAGAAAAAGTGATAATAATGAAAGTGGTAACATATGGAAATTTCTAAATCTACTTTGAATATAAATGCAAAAGCACTTACTGCTAGATACCTTTCAAGAATTCCAGCTGGACATTTGAAATTTTTCCTAATCTACCTGTTGACCTTAATTTCTATACTCTCATGGATATCCTGACAATACATACTTTTCTGATAGTACATACTAATTTTTGACTGGATAAAAGCCCATGAAATTTCACAGTGAATGCAAAACAAATGTCTCCCATTTTCAAATTTTGTAGAGAAATTAAAATATAGTTCTTATATTTTATTGCCAGTTAGGCTATAAAAAGAATTCAAAGATAAAATTGTATGCCTTGGACATGGACCTCTCACACATCTACAGTAAAGGAAATAGACCTGCCTCTTTCATCCCCAGCCGTTGGACCCATCAGATCTGAAATGTTTTCACTCTAGTTGTGTTGGGCTCATTCTCTGAAGAAAGGAAAATGCAGTTTTCCTTTGGCAAGAGAGTAAGGATTCTGTGTGGCAACAGAACAAAGATCTCGGCATTAGGATGTCTGTACGTGCACACCATTTCTTGTCTTAGTTAGTGTTTCTTCTAGACAGATGTGAGTCTTACAGGAAAACCGAGGTATCGTGACCTTCTGTTGGTGTTTTCCCAATAGGTTGCCTAGAAGAAAGAACTTCAGCAAAATTGGGATAGTAAGTTCAGGGAATAGGGGTGGAATTGTAATTATCTTTGTAGAGGAAAGATTGATCTCCATGAATCAAATGAGAAGTCACAGGGATGGAAATCTCCCAAGAATATTTACTGTGTTACCATTTGACTTGTAACCTCAAAGTTGAAGTGCTAATCTGTGAATGTGACCCTGTTTTACAACAGAAGTTTCTTCTGCTACATTTATGAAGTCATATTTCATTGGATTGGGTCACAAGCCTACTCATTGCTGAGAGGGGTCATATAACCTAGCAGAATAGACAGAGATACAGGGAGGGTATAGGCATCAAGGAAAGGTAAGGAAGAGAAAAAACATAAATAAGTAAAAATAAAATCAAAACAAAACAAAACTTCCAGAGCTTCAAAAAGAAAGGACTCTTCCCTAAAGCCAATGCCATGATTTAGACTTCCAGCCTTCAGAGCTATGAATACATTTTTAATAATACATTTCTATCCTTTCAAACAACCATCATGTACTATTTGTGATACATAAACACAAAGTAACTAAAACAACGTGTCAAATAAGAAAAACAAAAGATGCTTTAGATAGAGAAGACTTTCCCACCCCATTCCAATCTGAGGCTATGAGAAGCTGCCTATGGCGTGCAGAGAAGTGGCTAGCAGGAAGATGGAGACCAGATAGAGAGAGAAGCAGCTCACCCTACCTCATCAACCTGTGCCACAAAGTAGTGAATTAAAAAAGAAAACCAATTCACTTCCATAAAAGATTGCATTCAATTGGGTTTACTGGAATTTTATTATGATTGTGGATCATTCATCCAAAACACTAAAGTAAACATGTACTGACAATCTATATTTATTTGAATGAGTAGAGGGGTTATATAATTCTGTATGACTTTTCAGAGAGAAGTATAAAAGTTTAATTCACTGAATAAAATTAAACATCTAAAATACTGTAAAAATCAAGTTATATTTTACTTATGTCATGTACCATGGTTACTCAATATTTATAAATATAGTAAATCCTAACAGAGAAATCAAGGTGAATGATAGACCAAATAACAGGATTTTGGAAAACACTGAGGTCAAGACACCCAAAATTTAAGTAGAATCAACACGTTCAGAGAAATGAAATAGGCAATGGTTTCTGTCCTGATTTTGGAGAACTGTAGCCCTATCACTCACATTTCTTAGTTGACTATAAGAGAAAGCACTGCATTTACAAATGCTGCTGTATTTGTAAATGTTTAAAAAATATTTAATTGTTTAAGATTCCCATTCTTTATGGGGTATATGGAATTTTCTACATTATTTAGCATAAAGAGTTCTCTATTAAAAATAATAATCAAATGAGAAGTTTGGAAAGGTCTCTAGAGTTTTATTCCTCTTGCAACCATATGCTCTTAATATGTGCATGAATTTTCACACTTGGCAATGGAAACTCTGTACACTGAATATATTCGGGCTTGCTCAGAAAAACTAGTCTACAGTTTCTGATGTAATTAAAGAAAGAATGTCAAAATCCGACTTCGATTAGTAGATTCCCACTAGAGCAACCCCGTAGCTCAGAGTACAACTGCCCCCGTGTGGTTTCCAGGACAGGCAATACATTTGGACACAGGCTTGCTCATCTTTCCCCCACTGAGTAGCGCTGGAGGGGTCCCACTGCTAACCTTTTCATTAGCATCCAAGAGCTCAACCCTCTGCCTTCAGAGTGCTGAAATGAAAGCATAGGGGTAAGAAACCCGATGCTCTATTTCCACTGTATCCATGCTACAGTTAATCTAAGACACTGCGATGCCTAAAATTCACAAGACCTCTAAATAACTTCTTTGATATAATGAAAAGAAAACTAGTTTTCCTTAACTGAATTTCTTGGCCTCTGTGGGCAGAAATAAGACACCTCATCTTATTGCAGCGCTTTTTCTCCCCACCGTTTAATCTAGGACCTGTTAACCAAGGTTCTCTCTCTATTCAGCAGGCTTATAGAAAACTAATTTTACAATGTATGTGAATGTCACTGCAGAGAAGTCCTACTCTAATATAATACAAGTATGCAAATGTACACTTCAGGTATCTTAAGCACATAGAAAGAAATAATAGATCAGAAAAATACATTTGACAGGTTTTAAGTCAGTTTTATGAAAGTTAGAAACTGTCCTCTGAAAGAACACAGTAAATTGCTAGGTGGCATGGAGGAAGAGCAGACATCCCATTCTGAGAGGATGTTTGATGGGATGACTCTTAAGGAGCCCTACTGGCATAGTGGTTACATTGTCAGCTGATAACCGTGTGACTGCTGGGCAGTTCAAACCTAGCAGCCACTCAGCAGGAAGGGATAAGTGATAGTTTCTGTAAAAGACTCACTCATACCTGGGAAATTCTATAGGATAGTTCTCTGTTCTGCAGGTTTGCTATGAATTAGAATCAACTCAACAAAGTGCGGTTTTGACAACGGGTTTCAATATAGATGGCCACTAAAACCACCACAAACTACACAAAATCACAAATGCTAATGCTGATATACTCCATTATTTTTGTTTCCATCATGGTCTTCTTTCATATTTTGATTTGTGTACTAGAAATAGTCTCTTGGGCATAAGAAGGTCTACTCACTCCAAACATGATCATGCCTGATGAAGTGCGACAAGAAGCAGCATACTCCCTCCTTATACCACATCCTCTGAAATGGGGAGAGAGGGCTCCTTCTAGGCATACACATGATTGTTGTAGACAACAATAACATCACTGTTACTGCTGATGACTTAATGACACACGTGATAGGTCAGGTCCTCAACTAAGCTTTGCCCTTCTCTCTCTCTTTCTCGTTTCTTTCTTCACTCTCAGCATGACAACACTCTACCCAGCTTATGTCTAATGCAAATATCATTATACAATGTAGTATAAATCACATATTTCTTAATAACTCAGCAAGAAGTAACTGTAACTTCATGTTTCCATTCCATTAATATTTCACTTAACCTTGTCAAATGCTGTATTGTATGGTTATGAATTGACATCTTTTCTTTTTTCTATCTGTAAGTAAATCCTGGAGGAAAGGTTATGGTTTCTAAATCTCTTTAGACTCAATAATTTAAAGCCCTCATTAAAACATAAATATAATAAGTGAATATTCAATAATGTTTCTTAAATACCAAATTAATAAATAATTTATGTCATGATATTTTGTATTCTATGTCCCATTTGCATTTTAATCTTTTTTAAAAAAAACTAAGAACATGTTATAAAAACTTCTGAATGATATCACTAGGGACATAATTGAAAATTATTTAATGCAACCATAAAGCATTGCTATTAATATTTATGGTTTTCATATTCCATTTAGAGTAAGATATCATCTTATCATGTAAAAACAAATTTTCTGTGATATATAGATGTGAATTATTTGAGGAAATGCCTATTATCAAAAATAACTTCCTATTTGATAGCTTGACGAATCCAGAAATCTATATCTTAACATTCTTTAAGCAAACTTACCTCTCACTATAATGTTGGTAGATTTTTTTGCTGGGTTTCCTACATTGTTATTGGCGATGCAGCTGTAAACACCAGCATCCTCTGAAGTGATGGCCGGAATGGTCAATGTTCCTCCTTTCAAAACAGTCTTTTCGGGCAGAGTCCCGAAGGAGCTGACCCAGGTGAGAGAAGGTGCAGGTTCTCCTCCAGTTGTAACACAGACTAAGGTTATGGCCTCCCCAGGATTTACAACAATTGGATCATCCACCAAGAGCTTAATTGACGGAGATGCTAAAAGACAGAAACAAAAGAACACACACTTATTTAGGTTGCCTGTAACTATTTCAGCAGCAAGCTTCATAGCCATTCAGTTAAGTATCTAAAATATAACATTATTCGCTTTTGTTCAAATCATACCGTATGACTAAAATCTAAACTAAATGCTTTCACCTTTTAATTAAATGGCATAAATTTATGAAGCTTCATGAAGAATCTTATACATGAAGAAGGAAATTAAAACCAATTTCTCTCTGAATTATTCCATAGTTAGAGTGGTAAGCAAGACTAACAAAATATTCTCCTTGCTTTTAACACTGGCAATCACCATTTATAATCCTTGTTCCCAGTACAGATGTGGTAGTTGGTTAGTGCTTGTTTTGTGATGAAGATGGTGAATTAATTATCCTTTAAAATTTTTCAGTTAAATGATACATTTTCACAAGATGGACACAATAGAAGAAGCAAAATAAAATTTAAAAAAATTTAAAAACCTAAATAATTCCAATCTTTACTATATAATATTCTTTTTGTTCTTGAAAGTAATAATAGTCATTATATTCTAATCAGACCTCTATCATTTACCTTACTTGTCCCACCACAAAGATGTAGGTACTAAATACATATATACACTGCTCTAAATTTAGAAATAAACAATAGACTAAACATGTAGCTACCAACTACCCCTGCTGCCATTCTGATGTTTAAGTTATACTGATCCCCACACTGAAAATAAGTCCTTTGCACTTTTTGAGTTGAAAATTACAATGATAAGTACATATTCAATAAAAAATGCTGTTATACAGCCTTTCATAAAGACTCAAAACAGAAACTCACAAAACATTGGTTTTTTTACATACAGTATTATTTTTCTGCTTACACCACAAAACCAGCCTAAATTATGCATCCCTAAACAAAAACAAGTTATCACGACAGAGCATTCCCTGGAGAAGGACCTCATGCTTGGTAAAGTGGAGAGGCAGCTAAAAAGAGGCAGGCTCTCAGCAAGATGGATGGACACAATGGCTGCAACAATGGACTCAAACATAAGATCAATTGTGAGGATGACTGGTGTTTCATTGTATTGCGCATACGGATGCTGTAAGTAGGAACAGACTGAACTACACCCAACAACAACAACATAAAAACAAGGGATGTATTATACTGGTTCTTGAACTCACATATTCAGAAGCATTATATGTCAAATTTTAAAATCTTTTAAAAAAAAAGTCGCAGAAGAGCCTAAAAGCAAGGCTCTAGTGTGTTTTGTGAAAAAAGCTTGACTGACCTTTGTCAGCATCATTGTTATGTGGCGACTAGTCTCACATTTTAAATAATACAGATGTTTTCAGCACTTCTTAATAGTAAACCCTTTGAGGCACTGCCATTACTTCATCAGGATTTCTGATTAAATAGCTGGTTGAGAAATACACAGCGTGCGCATGCCATGCCTAAAGCACCACAGTTCAGGAGGAAAACATCATTTCGCAGAATTAATGTTGTTGAACCAATGAGCGATAGTACTAATTACTGAACACAGGCATTATATTTAATTATTAATATAGCATTATGAAGAGTAGAAAAAGGTTTCTACATTCCCATTTGAAGTAAATAGTATAATCTCACCATTATACTTAAATTATAATTATAGATTCTAACCATTTACATCATATTAACAAAGCTCATTTGTTTTATATCACATTTTAGTCAAATTAAAACCCCAAGGTTTAAAGGCCGAAACGTACCTACACAGAGTTATAAAAGCACACAATGGTGACACTGAATCACGGAAGATCTCACCAATATTGACTTTCAAATAGGTGAGTTATTTCTAGCAGGCTGACATTATTTAAAGAGAAAGTGCAAAAAAGATTTCAAAGAGTAGAAAGTAATGTATATGTAGCAAGACCTAGTTATGTTCATAATCCATTGCAGAGCTAGTCAGTGCCTTATCGAACATAGTCTCCAAATCTGAATTAAAAAGTATCATTAAATTTTATTCTATTGAAGATGATATATACTTTTCTATCTTTAAAATTCAGTAAGCCAGACTACAAAATAGCTAATAATAGTATGGAAAACATTCCAAACTTCTACCAGACCAACTATTACCAGGTAGAGTCACTTAATGTAAGCCTAAGGGCATTATAAAGCAGCTTCCTGAGGCTTACAGGGTTATAAATCTCTACCAGAGCAGAAAACACCTCATTGTTTTTCCATGCTTTCATACCCCCACTCCCACCCCCAACCAAGGGGAAAAAACGGGCAAGTAAAAAAGTATTGCTACAAAATCATAGAAACATTTATTAATCAAAAATACCAAAACGTGAGTAATTTCTTCACCTTTGATATGTAGATGACACAACGTTGCTTGCTGAAAGTGAGGAGGCCTTAAAGCACAAGCTCAGACCAAGGATTACAGCTTTATGGAGTACAACTAAATATAAGGAAAACCCAGATCCTTACAACTGAACCATCAAGATAATGGAGAAGAGATTGACATCAAAGATTTTATCTTGCTTGGATCCACAATCAGTGTTCGTGGCTGCAGGAGTCAAGAGATCAAATGACGCATTGCTTTGGGTAAACATACTGCACAAGATCCCTTTAAAGTTTTGAAATGCATGGGTGCTATTTTGAGGACAAAGTGTGCCTGACCATGGGATTTTCTCTGACCTCATATGTATACAAAAGTAGAACATGCTGGTGAAGAACCTTCAAAGTGCCATGGTCTGCCAAAAGGACAAACACATCTGTCTTAAAGAAGTACAACCAAAAAGCTCCTAAGAGGCAAGGATGACAAGACTTCCTCTCGCCTACTTTGGACATTTTTATCAGGAAAGACCAGTCACTGGAGAAGGACATCATGCTTGGTAAGTGGAGGGGCAGTGAAAAAAAAAGAGGAAGGCCTTCAATGAGACATATAGACATAGTGGCTGTAACCACGAGCTCAAATATAAGAAAACCTTGCGAGGATGGCACTGTATCCACCAGCATTTCCTTCTGTTGTGCACAGGGTTGCTAAGGGACCGAACTGGCTTGACGGCGAGTAACAACAATGATACATTTCACGACGCTATTCCTCATCAGGTCATTTGGATAGATGATACAAAGGTTTGTTTGGGCTTAATAAAAAACGTATGTTTTAGGAAAAAATACTATTTTAGCAAAGGACAGTGACTTCTGCCCTTTTTAGATCTTATTTACTGCTACCTGACCACATAGCTTGTGTAAAATAAAATGTTATCGGTGCTGTTAGGTGCCAGTGAGTTGGCTCCAAGCCCCAGTGACCCGATGCCCAACAGAACCAAATTGTGCCTGGTCCTCATGACTGTGAGCCATCTCACAATTGTTATGTTTGAGCCTTTTGCTTCAGCCCGTGTTCATTCAGCTCAGGGAGACCCTTCTTGCTCGCTGTACCACTGCTGTACCGAGCATGATGTTCTTCTCCAGAACAGGTCTCTCTGACAGCACTGTCGAAAATACGTGAGATGAAGTATTGCCATCCATACTGCTAAGTACTTGGCTCTACATCTTCTAAGACAAATTTTCTTTTTGGTTTTTTTCTCCTGGCAGTCCATGGTCCTTTCATGATTCACCATCAACATAATTCAAGCTCATAGATCTCTTCAGTCTTCCTTAATATGCAACTTTCATATGTATTTGAGGCAATTGAAAATACCATGACTGTGGTCAGACACATTTAGTTCTCAAAGTAACCTCCCTCTTTTCAACACTCTAAAGGGATACTTTTCAGCAGATTTACCTCATGTGACACATCTTTTGATCTGTTGACTGCTGCTTCCATAAACATTGAGCGTGGCTTCAGAGACAAAATCCATGACAACTTTCACCTTGGCTCCATTTACATGGTGCTATCTATAACCCTGGTTGTAAGTATTTTGGTCTTTACATTGAGTTGTAATCCTTACTGAAGTCTGAAATACTTATTCTTCATCACCAAGTGCTTCAAGTGCCCTTCACTTTCAGCAAACAAGGTTGTTCCCTCTCCATAATGAAGGTTGTTAATAAGCCTTCCAATCCTGATGCCATCTAGCTTCTCCAATTATTTGGCCCAGCATACATATTGAACAGTTGTGGAGATAGGATACAACTGTGGAGACAGAATATAACTTTGCTAATTTTAAACCATGCAGTATGCCCTTGCTCAGTTTACACAACTGCCTCTCTATCCATGTACAGATTCCAAATGAGCACAATGTGATATTCTGATATTCCCATTCTTCTCAAGGCTGTCCATAGTTTGTTATCATCCACATATTAAATGCTTTTTCATAGTAAATTAAACACAGTAAACATCTTTCTGGTATCCTCGGATTTCAGATAAAACCTATCTGATGTTAGCAATGATGTACCATGTCCTCTACTAAATACAGCATAAACCTCTGCCAATGTACTGCTGCAACCATTTTGGATGACCTTCCACAAAATTTGACTTGCCTGTACTATTCATGGTATATTATTCTGTATGAGCATTGTGTTGGTTCATTTTATGTCGAATAAGCACAAATATGGGTCTCTTCCAGTCAGTTACTCACAGAAATGTCTCCTAAATTTCACAGCATAGCCAAATGGGGGCATCCAGTGCTTCATCAGCTTGTTGAGATGTGTCAACTGGAATTCAATCAATTCCTACATCCTTGTTTTTGGCTAATGCTTTAACTGCACCTCGGACCTGTAGTACCTTTGTCTCTTAATCATATGACCCTGCTGATATGTGAAAATGCAGTGACAAAGGTTTCAGCATCACTGCAATACACAATCCACCAAAATATGACAGACTAACAGACTAGCTGTGCTATGATAAAAGAGTTAAAATCTGAACCTGGGGAACTGTGTGAATCATCTCTTCAATCTCATCAACTTCAAAATTCCATATATCAGGGCATTTGATTCTAAAACAAAAACCTACTTCTGTATGCCGCGTCTTTTTATGACATTGGTCTGAAGCAGGTTCTCCTGCCTAAAGGTCCCAGAGACCTTGACTTAGAGAT